CATTACCCAGTTTCGCTTACGAGCACTTGCTCGGGAACCACTTCAACCAAGAGACTCAGGAGCCTAGGAAACTCAAGGAACAAATTGACCAAAACACAGGCCAGTGTCCGGCTACCCTGCTTCTGGAAAGGAAAACAATCCCAGCTTCAAGCCTCAAAAACCTCACAATCCAAAAAAACCAACCCTAGGAACCAAACCCAAGAAACTGACTCATCAATCAGTAGAGGCTGAACTCTCTATATACAGTCTGCAGAGAAAAAGCCCCTAACTGATTACATACACTGTGTGTAAGTCATAATCCACCTAGGCCCCGGTTGTGGTGAAGCGTCAACGACTGCCCTACAACGGATACGTGATGCTGGACAACGGTAATTAATGGGTCCCTGCAGGAGTAGAACATACGAGTAAGAGGCAGCATAGGCTGGCGGATAAGAATAAAATAGTAAATAGGATAGAATTAGTAGTACAAAGGACTCTGTCCTTATGGACTCTTTTCTGCAGTCTTCGCCCTAATGAACGTGTGCTGTCGTTATGGCTGCATCTGGACTGGAAGTTGCCCCAAATGCAGGTATGTTGAACGGGCGTTCTATTCGGGCGAAGACGGTAGTCTTTATATAGAGTTAGTTAGCACATGAGGGGCAAAGTGGATGCATGCGGTGAAAAGTGGAAACATGTGGGACAAGTCGAGACATGTAATGAAACGCGGATTTGAAGATCATCAGAGTCCAGTGGGTCAGAATAGCAAAGGGATCGCTGTCCAGTCGTTTGGTAATAACCAAACTGTTTTAAACTCGAAGGCTTGCACAGCGTGTGTCGACTTTTTTTTTTTGTTTGTTTGCACAGCATGTATCCAAACTGGTTTTCGTTTTTCGTTACCTTCATTATTATTGTTATTATTATTATTATTATATTTTTATTACTGCATGGGTCCTGGGGACCATCTCACGCAAGTGTGTACATGCCATGCATCATACTCCCACACACAATGAACAGTAGTCTGACAATAGACAAAGATAGAGAAGATGAGGACCGAGTTTCACAGTTTATATTATCAGAAATATGAATACAAAGTGTTTCAAAGTTCCCCTGAGTCCAGCACTCATCAGCGCAACACCAATATCTTGCCAACTCATCAATATGCCTTCCAGTGAATCAGTGCTACCCCTGCAGATAGTCTCCAAGTCATCAATGTGGTCACCACTCATCAGCGCCACCTCTGCAGGTCACATCCAACTCAGGTAAGTATCTTCCGTAGCCAACCTTGAATGAACACTCTCAGCCTCAATCCCTTCCTCCTATGATGCATACACACTCTTCAATACTCATGAGGATCTACTYTGGATACTACTCATAGCTACATACTAACCCTCTACTACTAATGCTAACTCGCTGGGCAGCTATGGCTGCATCACTTCCAGCGTACAGGCATCTTCCTCCCTCCAGCGCGTCTTCTCCTCCAGTGCTGCTCCTCCTGACTCAGCGCACAAGTGCACCAGCACTTCCATGCATTGCAGCCAGTGGAGATCTGGCGAAGAATGAGGCAGGCAGCTCTTTTTATAGTGCTGGCCACTCCTGGCTGGGTCTGCATTGGCTCAATTCAGCCTCTCCCTTTGTCCCAGACCCTGCATTGCATGTGTCCCGGTACAGTCCCAATGAGATTCAACTGCTGCTGAGGCACTTCGGCCTGGATTTGGACTTGAAAGTCTGGATCTGGACTGACCCCTTGACTTAGACCAGAACTGGGACTGTGCCTACTGACTTCACTTTCGGACAGGCACAACTCTAAACGAACAGACACATTTACTACTTGAACAGGCACTTTCCATTGCACGAACAGGTATACTGCCTACACGTACAGACACACCCTTACTTGAACAGACATGACATACACATCTCCTGGTGAACAGGTAAGTCTTTTGATAATGCCCTTTGCCTTAGATTTAGATGTGCCTGTTGATAGAGAACTTGACTTTTGACCTGTTTTCACGTTTCTGAGCCCTGGCAAGATACCTTTTCACAATGCTTTACTTTTACAAGGCCCGTGCTGCTCTATTYTTACAAGGCCTGAGGCCTATATCGGGTAAAGGCCCTTTTATTACTATTATTATTTTTTAATTATTTTATTATCTAGGCTACCAGAGTGGCCCAGGACCACTTGCCCGGCCGGGCCAAAGGACAATAAAAAAAAAGAAAAAATATTTTTTAATTTAATTTTTATTTTAAATATGATAAAGAGTTTCTATGTGACCCTGAGGCAGTGTTGGCCATAGCCTCTGCTGCTACTCGATGAAGGGTGGGGGACGATGAGAAAGGGAAGCACAGCTACTGGCAGGTCTCGGTCTTTGTGTTAGCCAGACCCCCACTGGCGGCCCCAACCCTATACCCTAACCATTAGGGGCAAGGGGCAACATGAAATCTCCCCTTCACAGAGAGAGGAAAACTATGCTTGCAGGGGTCCCCTCTGGATAGTTTTAGGAGTAGGTAGTGGAAGGTAAACAAAACAGAAGTTGAGAGAAGAATATAGACAGTTGTGATCACCCCAAAAAAAAGAAAAAAAGAAAAACAAAAGAAAAAAAAAGTTGTTCAGTTTATTTTTCTGCATAACATAGTTTTGTTTCGGATTTTTTGTTTTTTTGTTTTTTTTTTCGCTGGGACCTTCCCTGGTCCTTGCACGGCTGGACCGCCCGGGAAAACAGGGTGACCCGGGCGGCCCGGCTGATAGCCTAGTTTATTATTATTATTATTATTATTATTATTATTATTATTTTTTTTTTGGGGGGGTGAAGTTGCCGATTGGTACTCGTCGTTGACAATAGTGCTGTTTCTCTTTTGAGTAAAAAAAAAAAGAACTGAAAAAAATTTGCCAATGTTTTCGATTTGCTATTATGGCACTTTGAGTCGCTCTATCGATCGATGCTTGCATTGTCCTCCGTGTCCTCCGTGATCATCAAGAAAAAACGTTTTGTTCACATCATTGCCCTGAATGATTGGTATTCGCTGTTTTGGCAAGGTCATGATTCTCATGATGGTGCTCCTCCCTCCTTTTGTCCCAGTGACAATTTCCTGTGCCGCGCTCGTTTTTTTCCCCGTGGCTTTTCTGATTGTATGATTTTGTATCTGTAGTCAGACTTGAGATTCTTTATTGAATCTTTATTTCAACAGGTTCGTGGGTGTACCAACTGAGCTACCGGCTCGTTGTTTTTTTCCTTCTTCTCTTTCTGATTACAACTGTGCTTGTTTTTTCCTTCTTCTCTTTATGGCGTGTCGGTGGTGTCATCGTCGTTGTGTTGTATAGCTTAACTCTTGCGCCCTTGGATGATTGATACAACAGTCTGGTTCCTTATCCGCCAGAATAGAAATGGACCCTTAGAAAAAAAAGGAAAAAGTTACTTGTTTTTTCCTTCTTCTCTTTCTTATTACAACTGTGCTTGTGTTTTTCTTCTTCTCTTTCTTATTACAACTGTGCTTGTTTTTTCTTCTTCTCTTTCTTATTACAACTGTGCTTGTTTTTTTCTTCTTCTCTTTCTTATTACAACTGTGCTTGTTTTTCTTCTTCTTCTGTTTCTTATTACAACTGTGCTTTTTTACTGTGGACGTTCTGCTGCAGGTGTTGCAACTTATGTCAAGGAGGCGCTTCTGCCATTGGATGCGTGCGCTGATTGTCTTGGGAATTCGACAGGACAATCGGAGGAGGACATCGACCGCGAGGGCAGAGTGATATGCACCGACCATGGCTCATTTATGTTAGTGAACGTGTATGTTCCAAATGCTGGGGAGAAACCGCTACGACCGAGGATCGACTTCAAGATGAAGTTCTTGCGTATGCTTCGCAATAAATGTGTGTCCAGCAAGATGAGGTCAACGACACCCATTTATCTTCCACTGAAATGACTGCCTGTCTGTTTTTTTTTTTTTTTTTTTTTTTTTTTTTCCTTTCTTTCCCGGACTTCAAAAAAAAGAAAAAAGTGAAAGCTCCATTCTATTCTGGCGACCAACAGTCGGTGGTGTCATCGTCGTTGTGTTGTATACCTTAGTTCTTTCGTCCTTGGATGATTGATACTTTCACTTACAAAGTAACCGTGAGATTGTACTACGGACAGGTGGCTTCGGTGCATCATGGCGTGTCGGTGGTGTCATCGTTGTGTTGTATACCTTAACTCTTTCGTCCTTGGATAACAGTCTGGTTCCTTATCCGCCAGAATAGAAATGGACCCTTAAAAAAAAAAAAAAAAGTTAAAGCTCCATTTTTTCTATTCTGTCAAGTCCAACAGCAATATAACTCGACCAACAAATACGATTCAAACAAACAAACGCTTTCCAGACTTATTATTATTTTTTTTTAAAGCTCCGTTCTATTCTGAAATAAAAGAACGGAGCTTTTTTTTCCGAAAAAAAAGGTTAAACCTCCGTTCTATTCTGACCCTTCCGTACAGGTGGTCAGTGGGGACCACCACTGACAGACAGATAGCATTCATTACTGCCCCCGTCCTAACCCACAGGGAGGATTGACTGCCAGATTTTTCGCACATTCAGTTGAACAATACCCCTCCCGAAAAAAAACTACAACCTCTAAACCCCCCCCCTCCCCCCTTTCCTCCTAGAATGAAACACACTTGGAAACCAAAACCCTCCCTACCCTGTTCACCCGAATACAACGCAGGGTCGTTATTGCTGTATTAAGACTGAAAGATTACCCTAAAGACAGGGTAGGTAGGTAATGACCTTATGTTCTATTCGGGTGGAGAAGGTAGTTCCTTTTTCGAGCCTATGAAAAAAACGCTGCCTGATGAAAAAGAAGAGGCTTTACTCCCTTGAAACTGTGGTTTTTGGAATTACCTAAGGAAAACCTTTTCAGATAATAATAATAATAATAATAATAACCTAAGAAAACCTTTGCTGGGGGAAAGGTTGAAAACCAGGTCCAGTGTATTGAAAAATAAATACAGTCAAAGAATATTGCTGGAAACCAGGTGCAGTGTATTGGAAAAAAAAAGTAACCAAAAAATAAAATTGCGTAATTGGCATTATTACTTGCTGGAAAACGGTTTCAGTGTCGCCATCGTGACGCCTATCATGGAGCGTCTCAATCTATAATAATTACGTAATTGCTCCAACTTTAAAAAAAATAGTGTCCTTCGGGACATCCGTTAAAATTGGAACGGTACAGGGAAGAGTAGCATGTGGGTAGGTAAGGTAAGGGAAATCACACTTCATGTACACAACATGAGCAAAAAGGCGTGAAGCGCCATAATGCAGAAAGAACAATTGCAAGTATTGCAAGTATCTCCTTGAAAGAATTGAAACGAGAAACGGCGTCCTCGACTCGTTTCAACCATGCAAGTATTGAAGAGTAGCATGGCCCCTGCACAAGGATGACACGAACCAAAAAAAAGAAAAAAAGTGAAATGTCCATGATCATGGAAGAGAGAGAGGGCAAAGCACTTGAAAAAGAAATTAGATGGCAAGGTCCCTTTACCTCAGGATAAAAAGAAAGGAAGGGAAAAAAAAAAGAAAGAGAGAGAGAGAGAGAGAGAGAGAGAGAGAGAGAGAGAGAGAGAGAGAGAGAG